CGGCAGTCTTTCGTTTTCACTCACTTTTGCATTTACAACCATATGAAATCCACGTCCACCTTGTTATGGCAGTAAGTACATTAAATTACATGAGCTATTGCATGAAAGCCCATAGAGCTAGTGCAAGTGGGAAAAAAACACAGAAATTAACTACGCCGTTCTGGTTTATAAATTGTATTTATCGAAGAAGATAGGCTCGGGAGAGAGACTCGGTCTCATGGAATTTTTTTTCTTTATTGTCCGCGTCGCAGGCAGGTGAAAGACGCAATGGCATGACGGCCCAAACGACAAGGCAAGAGGCCACTATAGATTCTGCCTGCAGACAGCTCGTGCTCGTGCGTCTGCCTGCCTCTCCCCTTCTAGCCTCCTCCGTCGTCAAGGAAAATTCTCCCTCTACTCGCGCACCGAGTAGACGGATTTTCGACGAAGTAGCAACCTGTGAACCGTAACATTAATAGTGCCTTCTTACATTTAAGTTCACTGAAGCAAGTAAAGATAGGTTTAACTGCCCAATGTAATGCAAACTTTCAGGGCACTTCCCTTGAAAAGAGTTACAATTTAAATGTAGAAATGAGATTGAATTAGAAGTCATTAATTGATAAAGAAGGGGAAGACGGTGGGAATGGGTAAGGAAGGAGACGCCGAACGCCTGCAGAGCCGCAATGATGCTCTACAGTGGTTACATTAGCATCTGCAACACCGCGTCTTGTTCGGGGGACGCGCTCGCGACGAAGGCGGAAGCGAGCACGGCCGCAGCGGCGGATGGTGCAGGAATGACGGCGGATGCAGACGAGGCTGCTAGGGCAACGACCACGGACGGTCGCGAGGGAGGAGCGACCGGGCATGGACAGCAGCTCCATGCGGGCGCGGAGCGAGCGTGACAGGAGCTGGAGCGGCCTGACCTGTGGTTGACGACGACGCCAATCGACGCACTGTGAATTTTTACCTGGAGATTCTCATGCTAGAAATCATATGACGTCGCTATGAATATTTTCTTGAACAACCTAATTTTTAGGGGCAAGAATTTCCAAGTCCATGCACCAAGGAGTTTGACGGCGTCATTAGGGGTGAGCTTCGAAAATGGACGCTTTAAATCCTCAGTAATATTCATACAGCACCGAAGGCGAGTCCATTTCGAGTCAGTTTCCCCGAAAGGCAAACAAACTCTTCTAGTAATAGAAGTCGTGGGTTAGGAAGTCACTGAAACTGGAAATCGAGTCAGCGGAACGGAATCGTTTTTCAGGATCATTCCCCACAGTTCATCCATTGCATAGCGTAAACCGCGCTTTCGTGAGCAAACACTTGAAATGATGGTTATGGGGGCATCAACTACTCATGGTCGTGGTATAAAACCTTTGCCAAAGAGGACTTGCCCCTGACTTAATACCGTATATATTTCGCCATTGCTACTTCGACTGCATTGGCTTGGAGAAGTTGGCGTCATCGCTTGCTATTGCACGTGCTCATCTTCTCACTGATTTCCGGGTACCTGAAAACAAAAGGCTCCGGGATCCAGGCCTCTCTCGAACGTTTCTGTCCTCCTTTTGGCCAGAACTCAATCTAATCTCTTTCATCTGATCAGCTAGGAATCGAGCAAACTTTCACCGTGTCCCTTGACTTTGAGTCATGGCATCAGGGATGCCATGACTCAAAGTCAAGGGCCATTCCAGTGCTATTCCCTCTATCTCTGGAATCATCACTCATAGAATTGTTATGTACCTCCCCATATGCTCATTGCTAATTGTAGCAAGCAATAAACATGAACAGTTCCTTATTTACTATCCACATATTCTGGGAATAGTAAATAAGGAACTATAATCGTGGAATCCAGGCCATAAATAGTCTCATCTTTCTGATGAGAACCTCATGCAACAAAATAATTTTCCCCTTTCGAAAGGAGCTCATGAATCGTTTTTTTTTCACCATCTCTTTAGGCAGCGTGGAGAATCATCATTCGCTCTCCATGGAAGTGCTCTCGGATACGCCATGCTGTCCAAACAGTTGTGCCCATGAGTAGACAGTTATACAGGGTGCGGCAGAATGGAGTCCCACATTTAAAAGGTTAATAAAAAAGAAACGGTAAAAGATACGAAAAAAAACTTTTATTTCTGAAAGGTACATGTAATAAGGTTTCATTTACTTTGCCATTTGCCCGACATAATTTTTAAAACCTAAGTAAATGAAACCTTATTACATGTACTTTTCAGGAATAAAAGTTTTTTTTTTCGTATCTTTTACCGTTTCTTTTTTATTAACCTTTTAAATGTGGGACTCCATTCTGCCGCACCCTGTACTAGTGCAGGCGGTATTATTACTGAATATACCAGATATAGGAAAAGGAATCGCCAATATTGACCCTGGTGGTCATCCCGTTTAGTAGGAATCCCGGTTGTAATGCCAGGGTTTCAGGGTCAGGAGTCCTATAGGGATCTTATAGATTTTTCCTGCTTCAAAAACGTATAGAAGTCTATTGGTTTCCCCATTGACTTTTTCGTAAGGGAGACAGTAACCTAAATTCAATTTAAATATTTGCGTGGAAACCTAACACAGTCTCTAATAGCAGGACATACTCCCAAGATTGGAGAAGTTCCTCCTGGATCCAAGTGTATGGGCCACAAGGATTAAATGTTTTTTTTTTAAAAACAACATGTGAGGATGCAAATAAGAAATCGTTAAGCAATCATTAGGACACCTTGCAAAACCTCCTTCCCCTGGGGAGATTTGGCACCAGGTGAATTAGGCGTAGATATGTTGGATGAATGTACATCTGGTTCAAAATTTACCTGGGGTGGGATCCATCTGACTCAAAATACACCTGTGTGAATAGCCAAGTGGATTTCCTTCAGGTGGGACATCCTCCTGGTTCTGTATGTACCGCCTTTCCACCTTGTCGTAATGCCAGGTGGATGGAGGTGGACGTTTTGTGCGGGCCCTCAAATGGAATGGCGAAAAAACGTTACCTTATCATCGCAATCTTACAACTTATATTCTTATCATTCGAATAGTCCCCCTCCCTTCAAGACTCCCGACTTTCGTGTCCAAAGTGTTGCAAAAACCATGCGTTCCATCGCCTACTTCATACGAACTGACCTCATCCTCTTGACGCCCGAGCTATTTTGGTCTTATTCTCTTTCAAAAATCACTTCTCTTGTCAGTGGAAAAAAGGTTTTCGACTCTAACATTCTCCTCTTCGTATACCACCTACCCCTAGTTCCGGGATGCAAGGAACCAGCATGCAGTGCTTGTCTCGATGTCCAGAGCGTCATATGGACGAGTTCCAAGGCAGGAGTGAATGCCTCAGTTCCGGAATCACCTGGGAATTTGGGGATTCCCCACAGTGACTCCTCTACACTAAATAGCCTCGCTGCGATGTCTCCCTTCCCAACTGCATGGCATTTCCATGCCCTTAACATATTTCTCTTGTTTGGTTTAAATGTTGATATTTTTCATCACTATTCCCATCCAGAAGTTTTACTCTGACGGAATATACTGTTGCTAAAATACGTTATTAAGCTAATTGCTGCGTGCAACGTTGAATGTTTTTGAGGTCTGAATATATTTCCCAAATGTCATGGATTAATATTTGTTTATTCAATTATTTCGAATAATAAGACATTGTGCTGAGTAAATTTAGTCTCGAACAACTTAGAATCCTTGTCATCGCGGTAGTCCATGGTGGAATCTTTCAAACTCTCGTTCGAGACTGTCAAGCGTCCATCGACAATTCCAGCCTTTCCCCCTGTATGAGAAAGCGTTTTCCTCTTTTAGCCAAAACATTCACAATACATTGGTCTGAACCGTCACTCCAGAGTTTAGATGGGACAGTATGGGTATCGAACCGGGTTTCGTCGAAGCACACAATGCTTCCCTCGCGCTTTCACCTGGGCCTTTGGTCTCAGGAAACAATGTCGAAGAGCTACAATTCGAGGTGCTTCCATGATGAATTTCCTGCGGTTATACACATGGCGCCTGAAGCCAATATGTTTGAGATGATGATATAGTGTTGTTCTTTCATAAGGAAATGCATCACGGTTTCCAACTGTGGATGTTTTCAAGCAATCGAGAAGCATGGCTTTAGTATGGATGGTCTTGAAGTAAAATTCAAAATCAGTTCGTCTCACCAAGTTTTAGGTGAAAGAATCCCGTCGATGGAAGCGGTTGGATAACCGTCGTTTCTTCGAAGGAGTTTTACGGATATCATATGAAGAAATGATCTCCGCAATCGTCCTCTTTTCAATTCCAGTCTCAGCTAAAGTTCTTTGATTCATTGAAGAGATTCTACGGAAGGGTTGACCGTTTCTTCTCCGTTTCCATGAATTGAATTCGTCACCTCCTGACTTCGAATAGAGATTCCCTGCTTGAAGGGGTGAGGAGAGAGATCCTTCTGGAGTCAGTGAGGGTAATGGAGAGAGGAAAGAGTCGATAAATCTCTGTCCGGAATTTCACATCCTAAGCTGGTTTGAGGAGGGGAGCTGAGGTGATCGGGACGATCGCGGGGACTCTGGTGGTTCCTAGCCTGGTACAGGTACGGAATTCCTCGAAGTAGCTTCACACCATGGGTGTCACATGCCGGACGAATTAGAGATGCGTGTTCTTCCACAGAAATATGATGATCAACTAAAATTTGAACCGATTTTGACCACCCGACAACCCTGACCGGTCATTCCACTTCTTTAGCCGTATGTGATGAGGTCCCGATTGGCACCTTCTAAAAATCCCGAAGTTGCCATCCTAGCTGTCGAAGGTTTAGTGGAAAAAAAATGGATTTTATTATTCCTTCTACGATTTCCCTATTTCAGATAATAATCGCATTGCAATTGTGAGTTTTTGCTTGAACTCGGAAAATATTGATAGGATAACTCATGCCTCTATTTCGGTTTTTTATAGCAATTTTCCTTCATTTGAAAGACCTTCGAACAGGAAATGATGCATCACTCTTATAGACTGCTGAGAATGGATGTATTGATGAAATAAAATGTTCGATGAGAAAAATTGTCAACATGACGACGGTGAGAGAATGACGTAAGTCTCTTTCACGTCAATGTCTGATTCATGAATCAACTTCTTCAGAGATCATTGCATCCTATTCTTAGTGAGGCAAACTCATATCCTCGCTTAAGATGATCTGCATATTTGCGTTTAATATCCATTGAAGATTTCGAAGATGCTCGAGTTTATACATGTTAATAACGGTGAAATGCTTTTGTTGCATTGCTGTGAAATTAGAAATTATTATAGATAAACCAATGATTTGGAAATTTTCCCGATGCTCTCGATCAACATTTGCCATGTAGGTTTTTCTCATATTCAGGGATATGTCACAGAAAGATCTGTTATACGTTTTGAAGTGAGGGGCAAGCAAATTGCAACACCCACCTTCAATAGTAGCGGAGGAGACAAAAGAGGAGCTACATATAACGCACATTCACGTTATGATGTTTGTGAGTCATACAGTTGATAACGAAAATGCGCCTCCCATGAGAGTCCCTTACAGCTCATAAAAAATGAAAAAAATTAGGACCTATGTTTTATAGATAAGGCTATATACAACGGTTAGAAAAGGGCGTTCTACGCGCAATTCAAAGGTGCAGTTCATCCTCAAGTGTGTGGGAGGAAAGAGGGCTTCGCAATCTATCAAGGCATCTTCATTAATATTGATCAACCAAGACAATAGAGACAGAGGGATTAGTGAAATATTTTGGGGAAGTATATCTGGAACGACGCCATTTTCTGCAATATGAAGCTCCTGATATTTCTGTATGCATCATTGGCCATCCTGCCACACATCTTCGCCGGTCCAAGTGAGCGTAAATAATAGCGTCCTTCCAATGTTATAGTGCAATTTATAATCAACATCTTTGAAAATGTCGCCATCCTTAGACAAATGCCTCGTCAGTCCATAGTCCATACGTTTCAGAGTGCTTTCAAGACAAGTTTGGAGGATGCTTCAACATTCGTAACATGAATTCAAGTTTTGATGTCCATGGAAAATAACTGTGGAAGTTTTATTACTCTGAAACGAATTTACGAAGCTTCTCTCAAGGAATTAGCAATGACCAACTTCTTCAGATTACTACAAACGCAGCAACGTTTAAAGCCAAAAGCAGGCAGCGAGATGTGATCGCTGTCGTAGGAGAACACGAAGTCAAATTGACAATTTGTTGATTACAACTCATATTGAGATACTCCTTCCCTTTTCTTCGATTATAAATTCACAAATGTAGTTCATCCTTGCATGATTAATCCCTTGGATTTGGCTTGCGAAAATGCCTAGCAAAGAAGCTTTCATTGTCTTTCAATAAGAAAAAGGAGAGTGACCTCTCGGGGACGCCTATGTAAGCAACAATGATTGTATAGCAAACGCAGACCCGAATTCGGAATGCGCTGGTGACCCCGAGTGTATCATTATGGGGAATTCACGATTTAAGTCACATGCCCTCTTAACTTTCTAATCGGCGGACATTGTACTTGTCGCATACCTATCCATCCTTCTTACCTACGGGGGTGTTCACACTTACGATAAGGACTCTCCCAGGCGGATGTGTAAAACGTCCCCGCGTATAACTCTTGGAGTCCTCTTTCATCCAGCTGGAGGAAGGATAAGGGTTTGTTCACGGTGTCGGATGTGACATCCGGAATAATATTTTTAGTGTACAAAAATGTAACTATATTATGGATAACAAACCACAATATAAAGGCTGTAACAATTTGCTTTTGGTAGTGACTGAAAATGCCACGATCCAAAGTTTTGCACTCTCTCTTTTGTTGAAGATGTACCACATTTTTACCAAATAAAGATTTTGTTAGGGATGTCCGTGCAAAGAAAAGTGACAGACGTGACATTTCGTGAACCTCAAGTTAAAGTCACTTTCACTAATTTTCACATATCTGTCATCGAGTGGATCCTAATAATTTAGTTTCATGTTCATTCTATAGATTGAATGAATGCCTAGAAATGGTATAAGTCACCCCAAGATGACAATGCTTGAAACAAAAAGTAAGCCTATTTTGTGACGGTGTCGGATGTGTCTTGTTCTGAAAATGTATTTTGAAACAAGAAGGCTATACATATGTATTAATTTTATATTACAGATATCATTCAAACGTCAACAATTGACATCTACTCATCACACCTAAGCTGATTCGAAATTATCAGTATGCATGGAAAGCCCATGCTGCGATCTGTTCCAGTAGTCTAATTCATTCTCTCCAGATTTGCACTTTCATCACATTTTGAGTATCATGAGAGTGGTATGAATAATATATCATGATCATGACAAATTCTTTCATTTTTCAATGTAATATTCCATTTTGTTCATATCTTCTAGGAAAAGAGATGACCTTCTGTAGCGAAAGTAATAATTGCATATTCAGTAAATATTCCGGCTAAAATGCTAAGACCACTTGGCGTGGATAGACCCATAACTTAATCGCAGGGATGAGGTATCCGTCCATATATATATTTATCGGGATTCCGACCCTTTTATCGATTGAAACCTCGTATTGATCGACGCTCTTTTCCCGTATCGATCGCGACCCGGATCAAAGCAATTAGCTCTATGCCTTCCGTTGAAAATTTTCCAAAAAAGTACGTCACCTCGTCATGAGCTCGTCATATATTTAAAGGTAGAAACAATATCTCCTGGCATCTGAGTAAGGGGATCATTATAGAGTCTAAAACGTTTCATATTTCTTTCGACAATTTCCCACCAGAAAATGGAAACCGGTTTCTCACAGCTGACTTTTGTGAAAAGGTCGAGTCGGAGGGGAAATCCAATTGTGTCAATTACGAAGCCCTCTGCGTGATTCAGGCTACTTGGAAAATATCAAAATGCATGATTTTCAAACAATTACGATGCACCATATACAGGGTAATGAAACCTAGTACACAGGCACTATTACAACGGACAGTACTGGTACAGTGTACTTGGATTATTAACAAAGCACAACTGAGCGGGAGCATGCAGCCAGACAGCCAAAATGAAGGAATAAAACTGGTGTCATTTTTCGCAATGTAATTGTGCGGCGACATGAACCTTTCGATTCCCAGACACTTCGATGAAAGAAGATTTGGGTGTGTGGTTGCGCTTGCTTAATTTTCCTTAGAGGTATGTCCATTCCTTGGCATATGTTTCGATTTTCCGATATCAAAGGCGTTTTAGTGTTTCATGCCATTTGTCCAATGCTGCTGCTTCTCAAAACTCCATGAATGATTTGGAAAACACCTCAAGTTGTCAATGTATTTAACGGGCACGTTGTCTCGTGTGGTTTGCTGGAAAGCTTGCAACTAAGAATAGAAATTCTTGTGATTACCTTCATCAACATTCCCTTTGGGATTCCCATGATGAAATCCAATTTAAATATATTCTGTATAGATCCCTCTCGGATATGAATATGTTAAAATTCGCAAAACTTCATAGGATTCCCATAGGATGAGTCCTGCTTTCTGCAGGTACCATGGAATCCCCATGGGTCTTATATATCGTAGATGCTATGGAGGGATCCCTAGGATCGCGCACGAAGTGTCCTTCCTACAAAGATATCGTACTTGCAAATATGTTTGCCTCACCACCAGAAACATAAGGAAAAGTATGTATTTTCCATGCTTAAAAGACATTGAGTCAGACATCCCTTTGTCTCAGCTCTCAGCCTGTGCCTGTAAGAAAGTCTTAATCCTCTCAACGTCGAACTGGTGGGCCTGGGTGATGAAGGAAGTGGAAGTACAGAAATCGCTGAGGAAATCATAAATCGGGGGTGGCTTGAGATTGGACAGGAATACAGGTATAAGACAGACTTACAAATAGGGTCTGTGCAAGCAGTAAAATTTGAAGATAGGCAGGTAAGCAAAGGAAGTGGAGGAGAGAGGGTCTACATATGAAGAATTTTTTTTTAAGTGCGAGTTTTGAGCAATGTAAAATAGTGAAATCCTCTTAAAAATTACTTTCCTTGGATGAGCAGCTGCTGAAGAGAATTATAATGCTCCTGGATGTGCCAATACTTGTCGATTGAGCTTTTTCTAAAGTGTGAGTTGTAAGCAAAGTACCGACATCATCTTGAACATAAGTTACATTATGAAACTTTTCGAGGGTAGTGAAGCAATATTCAACATTTTCAAAGGAACAAACTCGTGAACGAGTATTTTCCCTCGTGAGTGAGGTAGTTCTATAGAATGAAATCAGTTCTGGTTTGGTGTTTGTCAGCGCAGAAACCAGAGACTTGCCTTATTCCGCTCACTTTAAAGAATTCAATCAGTTCAAGCATTAACACTGCAGGAGAATTTTCAATGGAACATGATGAACATTTCAGGGAAAGTGGATGCAAGACTGCTTGAGGATTGTGTACCAGGGGAAAGGCCATGCCAAGATCCCAATGCTGAATGTGTTGGCCAGCAAGGCTCGGAAACATGCGAGTGCAAGCAAGAATTCGTGGATGATGGAGGCATTTGCCGTAAGTTTCAGTTCACGTTATTCCAATACGTTGATATTGTAAATATCATAAGCATGCGGCATCGGCGGTTATTAGGACGTAAGGCGCTAGCATTTGTAATTGTGAAACTATTTTCAGACATTGGTGTACTAAGCCAAGTTTCCCATGAGCCCGGATTGTCCGCCACTATTTTTTTCAGAGAAGTCGATATTAAAATATCATGAACATGCAGCTTTGGTAGTTATTGGAATGAAAAGCCCTAGCAATTGTAATTGTGGAGCTCTTTCATGAATTTGGCGTACTGCGCCAAGTTCTCCATGAGTCATTGTCTGCAACCACGTGTTTAAAGAAATGCTGAATTTCTGCAGCAGATGAGGTTAAGTACCTCAAAATGGAGGATTTCGCCAAATATCGCATAGAAAGCATATTCCGAATGATTTCAACCCGTGTCTCAGACACCGCCCCCTCCTCCCCCTAATCGTATCTGAAGTCAAGTTTCGAGGTTCGAATAGCAACATCAATAGGTACTTAGGCTCCTTATCAATGAGAGAAGGAAATTCACGAATGATGCATATTCTAAAGTAGTTACGTGAAGCAGGATTTCTTGGAGACTTGATCTGCATTATCGTAGCAATAAGAGCTGGAACCACTTTTTGAGATGACAATACAGGTAGAAGCGTTTTATTTCCACCCAACCCAAGTATTTAATCATGAACTTATATCATGAGTGAAAATATGGAAAAAATTGTATTGGGAATGTAGTTGCAAGTCTGTGTTCTTTGTATGTAGAGGTGCCAGCTGGAGGGGACTGCTTGCAAACTGAAGATTGCGTAACTAATTCCACATGCCACCCGACTACACACACGTGCAGTTGCAACGAGAGCTTCGCAGCAGACACTATTACTGGCTTGTGCAGTGAGTTGGCATCCGTATCCCAATTTAACAGTGCTATAGGTCAGTATTACTTTCTTTGAAAGCTAGCTCATCATCGCTCAATGGAAGAGAGTGGTTGTTGAATACAAGTATATTGCTTTTAGGTGTGTAAATACAGGATGCCCGGAAGAAAGTACCACCTAATATATTTATGAGTTTCTCGGCAACCAGAAGACTAAACTGCCTAAAAATTTATAATAAATAAAGTTCAAATAGTTAGGAAACAGTTATTGAAATATTAGGCAGACGAATTTGACCTGAACTATGATTCATATCATTTGATAAAATGACCTCGAAATGAGACCAAACGGTTTATTTTATCACTTCAGTTCTAACAAAAACAAAAATCATTGCGAAAGGAACATTCAACGCATTAGTTTATCTTTGGAGACGGTGACAACTTTCCGAAGAGGCTCAAGTCAAAAATACACGGCAGTCTATTATACTGAGATACTGAGAACTGTAAATTTACAGTACTCAGCATCTCAGTTTAATATAATGCTGTGTATAGGTTTTTGAAACACGAAAAACGTATTGAGTCGTTATAGGATCCTACATGACTCCTGACTTATAGGATTCGGTGAGGCTTTCTGGGTTTCGAAACCCTGGCATTACGACAAAGATAATTACCAAATGGGGTGACCACCGGGGTAAATTTTGACGCTGGTTTTTTTCTAAATTCATTACCGAGTAGCAGTTTTCGCCTCTGCAATACAAGAACGGCCTCCACTAGTACAACTCATTGCCCATGCGCGCATATATTGGCTTGGCAGAATGCCGTATACACGAGCTCACTTCTCTCTTCTGAAGACTAAACTGCCTAAAAATTTATATAAATAAAGTTCAAATAGTTAGGAAACAGTTACTGAAATATTAGGCAGACGAATTTGACCTGAACCATGATTCATATCATTTCATGAAATGACCTCGAAATGAGACCAAATGCGCACTCTAAAGTACTTACATGAGGCAGGATTTCTTGGAGACTTGATCTGCATTATCGTAGCAATAAGAGCTGGAATCACTTTTTGAGATGACAATACAGGTAGAAGCGTCTTATTTCCACCCAGCCCAAGTATTTAATTATGAACTTATATCATGAGTGAAAATATGGAAAAAATTGTATTGAGAATGTAGTTGCAAGTCTGTGTTCTTTGTATGTAGAGGTGCCAGCTGGAGGGGACTGCTTGCAAACTGAAGATTGCGTAACTAATTCCACATGCCACCCGACTATACACACGTGCAGTTGCAACGAGAGATTCGCAGCAGACACTATTACTGGCTTGTGCAGTGAGTTGGCATCCGTATCCCAATTTAACAGTGCTATAGGTCAGTATTACTTTCTTTGAAAGCTAGCTCATCATCGCTCAATGGAAGAGAGTGGTTGTTGAATACAAGTATATTGCTTTTAGGTGTGTAAATGCAGGGTGCCCGGAAGAAAGTACCACCTAATATATTTGAGTTTCTCGGCAACCAGAAGACTAAACTGCCTAAAAATTTATATAAATAAAGGTCAAATAGTTAGGAAACAGTTATTGAAATATTAGGCAAACCAATTTGACCTGAACCATGATTCGTATCATTTCATGAAATGACCTCGAAATGAGACAAATGCGCACTCTAAAGTACTTACATGAGGCAGGATTTCTTGGAGACTTGATCTGCATTGGGTTTCGAAACCCTGGCATTACAACAAAGATTATTACCAAATGGGATGACCACCGGGGTAAATTTTGACGCTGCTTTTTTCTAAATTCATTACCAAGTAGCATTTTTCGCCTCTGCAATACAAGAACTGCCTCCACTAGTACAACTCATTGCCCATGCGCGCATACAGGGTGTTCGTATTCAGACGCAAAATAGGGAATCCTTTGCCGCCTGTATGCGGAGTACCTTCGGCGCCTTAGAGCCCACCGGGTTGCATATCTGGAAGGATTAAACCTATCCCGGGAGTGTTTCCTTGCAGATATGCAACCCGGTGGGCTCTAAGGCGCCGAAGGTACTCCGCATACAGGCGGCAAAGGATTCCCTATTTTGCCTGTAACTACGAACACCCTGTATATTGGCTTGGCAGAATGCCGTATACACGAGCTCACTTCCTTTTCTGGAGAGAGAATGATCATTCTCCACCCAACCTAAGGTTATGATAGATATAACCTGCGTACACCATCTCTTTACTAAAATTACATTCGGTTAGGTAGAGGCATTTCTCATATGGGGGGATTTCAAAATGGAATATAAGCTTATTTCTGGAATGGACTCCATTATTGGGATTACTACACGGAAACACATCCGGCCAATATTACTGTTAATATTTTTGCTAATTTTTTCATCTATTGGAGACATTCCTATTTTGCAAGCGTTTCTATATCCAATACTAGTACGGCCTGTACCGGTACAACCCCTTACTCTTCCACAACGTCTGTTCCATGGATGGGCAGGAGACAGAGTATTACTAAGTATTACTAAGTCAATGAGAATAACCCCATGTCGATCCCAGAATATGAATGCCATGACCTTCCCTGCCGACGTCCGGGCACGAAACTTCTTTGGTGGTGGACTCCCCGTATGTTTCCATTGCATCCTTTGCTGCTTCCATTCAGGATCGAAGAAATGCACTCACGTTTCATCCATTGTGATGATCCTGTCAAGGAATTCGTCCCCGTCGGCAGCGAAACGGTCCAGCATTTCTTGGGCGATGTTGCGCCGCTGTTGTTTGTGTGCGTCCGTCAAATGCCGTGGGACCCACCTTGCTGCCACCTTACTGTAGCCCAATTCGTCATGAATGATGCTAATAATCTGCTTACGAGCGATGCAAACTTCTATTTCCAGTGCATTCACTCATATGCGGCGGTTACATTGCACCAATGTGTCTACCTTGCGGATGTTGTTTGGCGTTATGGACGTGCGCGGCCTGCCCGATCGGTCTCTATCTTGTCCATCTCGTCCTTCACGCACGGACGCAATCCCTGGTACACTGTCCTTTCTGGAATTGCGGACTCACCGTACGCTGTACGTAAACGTCTCACCACATCCACTCCCTTCACATTCTCCTTTACAAGGAATTCAGTGACTGCACGCTGTTTTTCTTTCACGTCCATTCTCGGTGACTGTCAGCTCTTCTTTGTCCTTCAGCAGTGTCTACGCGGCCGAGTTCATTTCCACCAAATAGAAGTGGGTAGGTCGAGTTAATGCCATGCAACGTATGCGGCTATATACGAGGGCCACTCAATAAGTTATCTACCTGAATATGAAAGGGATGAGCATGTTAAAAGGTGACTACATTGAAAAATAAAGTGTTATTTTTCCCCTCGGATGTTTTTTTCTTATTCAGATAGATAACTTATTGAGTGACCCTCGTATATACTGGGTATTTTGTCAGGTTTTCCATGGACCCACATTTCTGACATGACTTTTGCACCTCCCCTCGTAGTATAGATGGATGAATGCAATGAATGGATTATATAGGAATATGTAGAAGTCTTATTGGTTTTATATAGGACTTGTAGGGATCCTATTGAGAAGTATGAATTCCTAAGGGAATCGTATGGTATCCGATAGGTTTCTCATTGGACCTATCATAGGCGGAGGAACGTCCTCGAAAGTGGGGGGAAAATGAGATATGTCTATTTCGAAATTCGGAAAATTACAATTCATTAGGAACCAATCCTATAGGCTTCATAGGGTTCCGTTTAGGATCTATATAGTTCCCTATTGGGCCTATAGGGTTCCGTTTGAAGTTCTCCTCAAGGCCATTAGATGAAGGTATTGGGTTCTCGCATTTCTCAAAGTACACAAATGTGCCCTCCCCTTACCCATGTAATCACCTCTCACAGGAGAATTTTGTACCTCCCCATATGTCTCGCCTTGCCTCATTGTAGCAAGCACTAAAATTCTACCCTTATTTTTGTCATCCCCATCTTCCAGATAAAACCATGGAGTCCAGGCCAGAAATATGCTCATTAACCCTTTGAAAAGCACTTACGAGATAAAGTAAAGTTTATACGAAAGGAGTGTCAGTAAAGGGACGACGTTCACAGGTTCCGCCTGCCATTTCTTCAGAGCAAGGGAAGTGGATGCGCTATAATGCGCATTCAAGCGACAAATGTGGACCAGAACAGTAAATTATGCAAGCCTACGGATTAATTGCATTAGAAATGCAAGTGCCCCTACCATGGGAAATCCCTACTCGGTAATTGATTTACACCAAAATTCCGCGCCAATATTGAGCCCTGTTGCCATTCCCATTGTAATGCCAGGGTTCCGAAACTCAAAAAATCATCCCCAAATTCTATAGGTCAGGAGTCCTATACCGACCATATTGGGATCCCATATGATCCTATAGCTTTTTCGTGTTTCAAAAACCTATAGGAAAGTCTTTTGGGTTCCTATGGGGAATAATTATAGGTTTCCTATAGGACAATTCCTTAAGGGTTAGGAATGGCATTTGCAATGGTTTGCGTATAATCATGAGAAACTTGAACGCAAACGTCATATAAGTTGAGATGATCACGGGTGCCCCGAGCGGCAGCATTAATTCGCTGCGAAGAATTTCACTGGACACGTCATCCGACATCACATACGGTTCAATCTTTGTCGACGTCAACTCCCTATGGTGCTTGCCATCGGTATGACCACAAATAAGTCTCAGGGAGAGACATTCGATCGAGTTAGACTACTACTTCCTGAGCCAGTATTCATGAATGGGGAATTGTACGTTGCATGTTTGCGAGTTCGCCCTGAGAATTTGCTGAAGATTCCGATTATTAACGGACTGAAGCAGGGTGAAACTGTTGCTAGCATGACATCATTACCGACAATGTGATATATAAGTTCTTCTTGGATTGTCAATTCCATTAATCGTAGATTTTATTATGAAGTAAATGTCCGTTTCATTCTCACGTGTGTTGCATTCCTTAACCTATAATAGTTCCTACCGATTTCGTTTACTTGACCCATTTCGAAAAAATTTTCAGTTATTTACGTGCATACAGGCAGGGATAGCAGGCTGTACCTCAGCATCTCTTTGATGAATATATGTTCCATCGTGAAAAATAATTTTTGTAGCAAGAATCTGGCTAAGACTGTTCTCGGTTAATGGGCCGTGGCAAAAAAAAGTGCAGGTCTTTGGGCAGAAGGCCGCTGGTTCCTATATAATTCCTACTGGACATTTTCGTAAGGGAAGCCCTTCGACTATGGTAGAGCACTTGCAAGGAAGTAACAGAAGTAATGCGTAGTATATGTTCTCTGTGAGTGACGTAATTTGACCGAATGGTTCCAATCCTAATTTAGTGTCAAACACCTAGAGAAGTAGAACTGCTTACAGTGTTAAACGGAAATACAGCAAGGGCAGAAATTTCCAGCATTAGTCCGTAAACTCATAGCCTTCTTCGGAAGCGTCTTTCTTCATACAGTATGATTAGATACAAAAGGAACTGATGTTCATTACCGTTCAACTTGTGTAAAAGCCCTTGCACGCCCGAAAATTGTATCCCTTACGGAAATGTCCTATAGGAAACCTTTAGCTATTTCTTATAGGAAACCTATAGACTTTCCTATAGGTTTTTGAAACACGAAAAACCTATAGGATCCTTTAGAATCCTATAGGATCCCCATAGGGTCTCATAGGTCTCCTGACCTAAAGGACCCGGGGAGGATATTTTGGGTTTCGAAATCCAGGCATTAAGACGGAAAAGTCGACCGGGGTTAATATTGGCGCAGCATTTCGGTGTAAATAAAAAACCGTTTAGGGGTTTTTCCATGGTAAGGGGATATGCATTATTAATACCAGTACTGCGGGGGTCTGCATAATTTATGACCCCGCCCCACATATTTCGCTGGATTGCACGTATACTTCCTTCCGTAGAGAGAAGTTGTATTCTTCTCTCGACCTAAGGAAATATAAGAAAGAACCTGCGAGCACATCTCTTTACTGAAACTCCATTTGGAAAGAGTCCATTCATTTTCGTACGTGGTTTTCGAAAGGAATAAGGGCATAATTCTTCACGGGACTCAATGATTCTATCTGGAAGATGGGGATGACAAAGAAGGAACTGTTGAAGTTTATTGATTGCTACAATGAGGCAAGGCGAGACATTTAGGGACGTACAAAACTCTCTTGTGAGAGATGATTCCTTGGGTAAGGGGAGGGCACTTTTGTGCCCTTTGAGAAACGCGAGAACCCAATACTTCCATCTAGTGGCCTAGAGGAGAACTTCAAACGGAACCCTATAGGCCTATAGGGTTCCGTATAAGTCCTATAGAGAACCATATAGGTCCTATAGGTCCTATAGGGAACCCTATAGGT